AGGGAAACACTCCTTCCTCAAATGCAACCAAACAAGATCACCAGCTTGAAAAGTGGGTTGTTTTCTATGCTTGTTTACTCTTTTTTTATAAGTTTCATTAACTTGCTCAATTCTTTCTCTGACTTGTTGATGTAACTTAATCATTGCCTCCAATTTCTTTTGTGCGTCAATATTAGTAATCTCCTCTTTTGGAAAAGGAATCAGATCAATTGGAAGCATTGGATTTGTACCATAAACCACCTCAAATGGAAAATGCTTTGTAGCAAAAGACGATGACCTATTATAAGCAAACTCTGCATGTGCTAGCTTCAAATCCCGATCCATTTGAGTCTTACTCACCAACCCTCTCAATAGTGTACCAAGTATTCTATTTGTCACCTCGGTTTGTCCATCGGTTTGTGGATGATGAGAAGTACTAAAAAGCAATTTAGTTCCTATCAATTTCCACAAAGTCCTCCAAAAATGACTAAGAAACTTACTATCTCTATCGGAAACAATAGTTTTAGGAACTCCACGTAGACGAACTATCTCCCTAAAATACAAATCGGCCACGTGAGTCGCATCATCCGTTTTGTGACAGGAAATAAAGTGTGCCATCTTTGAGAAATGATCCACCACAACCATGATTGCATCCTTTCCCCTTTGAGTTCTTGGCAATGCCACAATAAAATCCATGGATATATCTTCCCTAGGTCTTTCTGGAACAGGTAAAGGAGTATACAAACCCTTTTGAAAAGAACTCTTTGCCTTTTGGCAAGACTCACAACGAACAACAATATTTTGAACATCTCCAAACATCTTTGGCCAATAAAAATGTTCTTGTAATACCTCAAGGGTTTTATTAATACCAAAATGTCCTGCTATTCCTCCTCCATGTGCCTCTCTGATTAACAACTCCCGCATATTACATTTAGGAATACATAAGCGATTTCCCCGAAAAAGGAAACCATCTTGTATGACATAGCCACCATGTGCACCCCTTTTACAAGAATCAATGACATGAGAAAAAACAGGATCAGCGGCATAATATTCCTTAATCACATCAAATCCAAGTAGTCAAGAATCCATAATAGAGATCAAAGAATGCCTCCTAGAAAGAGCATCTGCAACAATGTTACTTTTCCCATCTTTGTACTTGCAAGAAAAGTGAAACGGTTGTAGGAACTCAACCCATTTAGCATGTCTAGGATTAAGCTTGTGTTTCCCATGAATGTATTTAAGAGCCTCATGATCTGAGTGAAGAACAAAATGACTAGGCCTCAAATAATGGCTCCAATAATCTAAAGCACGAATTATTACATAAACTCCTTGTCATAAGTAGAATAGTTGAGTTTAGCACCACCCAACTTTTCACTAAAATAAGCAATTGGTCGTTTATTCAATAATAATACGGCACTGATACCAACCCCACTAGCATCACACTCTACCTCAAAAGGTTGACTAAAATCAGGTAATGCAAGAACCGGGGTGTAACACCCCAATAATTCTCTCTTAAAAACCTGTGAGAAACCTGTATATAACCTGAACAATTTCAAGAGAATTACTGGTGTGCTACCGCCACGTGTTCAAACGTTAAGGCTATCTCAGAAATTTGCAGCGGAAAACCAAAACAGTTTTAAATAAACCTCAAAACAAAGGAATTAAATCAAAATAAGTATTACAAGAAGGAACCATTAAGGCCCTTATTCAGAACCCAATAAAAAGTAGTAAGTGATTAAATTCAGTGTTCCAATAAACTCAAACCCAAAAGAATTAGTGTCAACTAAAATCGAATTAAATTAAATTCAAACTTTGCAAAATAAATAATATGGAAACAACCAACTCTCTACTCAAGATCCCACAACCCTGATGAATGCTGCATGTGTAAGAACCTGTGGTTATTCTGCTCCCCAATATTACAAGTGTAAAAATTGGATCGTCACAGGGTCATTGAAAGGCGAAGGCCATGACCAAAGAAAGACACACACAAAAGCACGCAGTCAGCAAAACTGAGTACATACAAGCTGCGAAAATAAATTAAGAAAATACCCAACATGCTACTAATATTCAAGCACAAGCATCATTAAATACAGACTCAATTCACGACTCGATTATCAAATTTATTAAGACCTCACTTATTAATATTAACTGACTCATTTATTTATTTCATTGGATTTAGCAATAGACAAGGTTGTCCAACCCATGTCCCATTTGGAACATCAAAAAAGAAAAACCCCATGCCTTCTTTCGGAAACATCAATAAACATCCAACGACCACGGGCACGACTCCGTGACCGTAGTTAGTACGAGAACTCACCTAACTCCTAGTTTTAGAAAAATAATATTTGAAATAAGAGACTCGTAGATCAGACGGCCTCGATAAAAGTACACGACTAATACCCCATGTACCCCAACCCCTGATTGTCATTACTCCAGATGTGCACCATTCCAGAGTTTTATTGCTCATCCATCTTGCACTTTACGTGATTTACAGGTTTAGACTTGGTGATGACTCATATACATATCAATACAAACATCCCAAAAGCAATTCAATCAAACATGACAAATTCTCAATTTAGATTCTTGATTTATTAGTGACAAACAACAATTATTAATTATTCCATTACTACCTCGGTGTATAAACACCTTGAGTGCATAAGGCACCCCAAAACCTTAACCTCGTCTTACAAGACTTGAATTTCTCCTTTACTCATCCTGTTTACATAATCATGAACGAGTAATAATTTGATCTTTACACCAATCACATACCTTTGTCTTTAAGCGCACCTTGCATAATTAAAGCACAAATAATACTTGCATTATAAACTAGTGCACATCATTTGAAATTCACAATGTATAACCAGACAATTTAACCCAGTCAATCCTATATATGATACTAAGTTCTCGGTCCGTCCTTAAACATGCACCTACAAGAAGGTTTCGTATCTTGTACGTACCTTGTGTAAACAATCCGGTTGGCCACTTTAAAACTAGAAGTCGCCTTCTACAAAGTCCTCTCCTAAACCAAACAATTAGAAATAAATCAATACCAAAGAAATTAAAATTACAGCAATACTAACTACTTTAAAACCTCTTAAATCACCAGAATAAAGCCTTTAGATTGTCCCCAAAAGTCAAAGTTAGTAGTATAATATCCCAACTTTAAGTTTACATGTTAGAATTATGAAAATATAGTGTTTTATATCAAATTACAGCAACTTTAAAGTGGGTAAATAAATCTGGAATTTTGTTTTAAATATATAAAATAACCCCATAAGCATAATTACTTGAATTAGTCATTATATAGCAAGTTAGTGTGTTAAAAAACCCAAGAATATATCAATTCAATGCAATTAGAGGCTTCAAAATAAAAGGTATGAAATCTAAAAATTATTTTTAAAGTTAGAATATAAAGTTCAAAGCTTTTTCAATCACAATATACTCACAATGATTATTTTGTAGGTTTAGAAGCATAAAAACACGAAATTAACACTACTTGTTCATAAAAATTGAAACTTTAATAAATCTGAAAATTTATTAAGATAATTATATTTTAATGTAATTTAAACATAGTATGATTAGATAGTTTGATTAACACGTAATCATGCCCTAAAACATGAAAAATCAATGTTTTAAACCCTAAAATATGCAAAATACATAATCTAAAATTTTATTTAATAATTTAGACATACAAAATCCATAAATTTATAATCTTTTGTAATTTATACATACTATTAAAGCCTAATAACAATAATTTTATAATTGAAATCAAATAAAATTTGGATCTTTAATCAAAATAATAAGAAATAAAGAAAGAGAAATAAGAGGAAGGAGAAGAGGGGAGAGCGAACTGCAGTGGTGCGGCGCAGCGGTCAGGCGAGCGCGGCGGCGGTCAGGCGGGCGCGGTGGCAGGGGCGGCGGCAGTTGAAGCTTGGGGTTTTTTTTTCTTCTTCTTGTTAGCTGCTCGTGAATGAAGGAGAAAGAAGGGAGTGAAAGCTCCCTTTTTTTTACGTGAGAGAGGAAAGAAGGGTAAGGGTTTTATTTGGGCTTTATTTGGCTTTGGATTTCCTAATTAGATTAGGAGTAATATTTGGGTTTTGGGCTATAATGTTAAAATTGTTGTACATTAGTTAAAAACATATTAGTTTACTTAAATCTTTTCATAAAAATTAACTTATTTAATGAAACTGACATAAAAATATTTGTAAGAATAATATATAAATAAATTATAATTAAGTTAAAAATATGGGGGATTACACGGGGTCTCACAAAGCTTTTGTTTTATTAATTCAAACGCTCGTTGTGTTGTACCTGACCACTCAAATTTTCCCTTCTTCAAGCATTCAGTTATAGGAGCAGTAACAGTACTAAAATTTTTTTATAAACCTTCTATAAAATGAAGCTAAACCATGAAAAGATCGTACCTCAGTAACGATAGTAGGGGTAGGCCACGACTTGACGGCTTCAATATTTGCAGGATCCACACTAATACCTTCACCAGATATAATGTAACCAAGAAATGTAATTGAAGGAACCATAAAAGAGCATTTTTCCATCTTTCCGAACAACTTTTGTTCCCTCATTTTATCAAATAATTGCCTTAAATGTCCCACATGCTCCACTTCACTCTTACTATAAACAAGAATATCGTCGAGGTACACCACCACGAACTTCCCGAGAAAGGACTTAAGCACCTCATTCATCAATTTCATGAAAGTGCTTGGGGCATTTGTAAGCCCAAAAGGCATCACCATCCACTCATATAGCCCGTGCTTAGTCTTAAAAGTTGTTTTCCATTCATCTCCTTCACGCATGCGAATTTGATGATATCCACTTCTCAAATCAATTTTTGAAAATACAGTAGCACCATGCAACTCATCAATCATATCATCCAATCGAGGAATAGGAAAACGATACTTAATAGTTATATTATTTACCGCCCTACTATCAATGCACATACGCCATGTACCATCTTTTTTTGGCACTAATAATGCAGGAACTGCACATGGACTTATACTCTCTCACACATAACCTCTCCCCATCAACTCTTCAATTTGTCTTTGTAATTCTTTAGTCTCCTCGGGATTGCACATATAGGTTGGTTTGTTAGGAAGTTGAGAACCAAGAATAAGGTCAATTTGATGTTCAATCCCACGTAATGGAGGTAAGTCAGGAGGTAAATCAATAGGAAACACATCCTTATACTCTTCTAATAAAGGTTTTAAGAAGGGATTTGAGGTGTTCTCCCCTTCTTTTGACTCCACCTCTTTCATTAAGATAATATACAACTTACTGCCATCTCTAATTTCCCTCAAAACTTCACCTTCAGTGGCAAACATATTCTCTTTTTTGGGCTTTTTATGGAGTTTGTGTATTTGTTCTCTGGTCAAAGGTTCTAAAATTATTTTTTTCTTGTTAAACAAAAGAGAATAAACATTTTGTTTCCCAAGGTACAACACCTCCCTGTCAAACATCCAAGATCTACCCAACAATAATTGACATGCATCCATAGGAACAACATCACAAAGCACATTATCAACATATGACCCCATGCTAAAAGAAATCAATGCTTGCTCTGATACCACTTGCTGCGTTTATACCCAAACGCTGAAGGTTTTCTTTTGGTCAATGTTAAACTCAAATGGAGCTAACACAAACCTATGCTAGATTTTGATCAATCGGATCAAAACCAAGCTTGCTCAATCAAACGGATCGAACAAACAAACTTAATTCGTAAGTCTGCAATAATAAACTCAAGAAAACTATTATTTCAACTATGAATAAAAATTACAAACTAATGGCCTTTTAAAGACTAGAGTAACCGACATAAGATTCCTACTCCTAATAGGACAACTAGACTAAATACTAATTATAAACCCAATATAACTAGGACTCTATAGCTAGTAGGCAACAAGTTGCCAATGTATTACTAAGAAACCAAATAGGAATTAACTTTCTATATTTCTTAAATAATTAATTAAAAGTAAGCTAAAACTACTACTCTAATTTAGTCTACCTTCTTGCCAATGTCGTCCCATTGGAGTACAACCAAATTAAGATTCGTTCCTGCTCTAGCCCCAAAACGACCGTCTGAGTAGGCCACGATCCAATCCAACGATAATAGAAGCCTACTTGTATGACATGTAAGAGATATAGCCTTATCGACCGCTTGACTAACTTGACCCTCTAAAACTCCCGCATCATTAACACAACAGGTTAACAACAAATAATTGCTTGAATCAAGCTTATACAAGTCAACGGTGCAAATATAATAAATTACAAATTTACTTGTCTTAACAGAAATGTCAATTGGAAGCAACAAAAACTATGCATTTCTTTAATGTTCAGTAGTTTAGATTGAGCATCCACTCATCCAGAGGATGAACCTTCTAAAACCATATTTTTTTTTTTTGAGAAAATTCTAAAACCATATATTACATTTAAATTGAATGAGCAAGTTGACTTTTTTTTTAAAAAAAAAAAAAAACCATAGAAGGTCAAACTGGGGTATTCGGTTCTCAGTTCTAGAAAATAGGTGCATGGTTGCTCAATTTCAAGCTACTTTTGAAGAAAAAGCTAATTATGCTTAAAAGAAAGGGAAAAAAATCCTAATTTTGGTAAGAAACCTTAGATATATATTAGAGGGGTGTATAATAGAGGAAAAATTGGCCTACCTGATCATAATCAATATATATAAATAGTGCTTTCATCCAATCAGTACGGCATTGTCTCAAAAAATATAGACACATCAGATATCTTCTTGGTGTCTGTTTGCAACATAATAATAGAAGCTACAAGCTTAATTACCAAAAAATTGCTTAGCAAATAATTAATTAGCTGATAGGATGCATGCCACAAACTGTTCACACATGTCATTTAACACAACATTCCAATATTAAAAAATTATAAAATTGGCAGAATTTACCACTGATCAAACTAAATGACAACTATTTATGTCGTTGTAATTTTTATTTTCTTTTTAACACAAGGCTTAGATATCTAAGAAGTTAGCTCAATTAGGTTGAAGCTTTGAGTTATCTAGCTCAAGGCTTAGATATCTAAGAAGTTAGCTCGATTAGATATCTATGACATCCAAATTTCGCAAACCATACAAGAATGGTACATACTTATTATCACAATAGTTAAATAACTAAAATTTATAACAATAGTTAATTTTTCTTGCTTGTATGTATTATCTCGATGATCATAATTAGCAAATAATAGGATTAATTTTTATTTTTAAAAAATTGCAGTTATTAAATGTTCAAATCTCCATCCAATCCAAATACTTATATATTTATGAGTTAAGTATTAAAACATGTTTAATATATGGATGAGATGGTAAGACATCTTTTTGTGGTTGTGAGTTCAAATCTCATGATAAACATTTTTATTAGAATATACTCATAGTTAAAAGATGACATGGCGAGGGTGTCACGTGACACATAAACCTTTTAATGAACGCTTTTTAATATATAAGTATAGAATATATAATAATAATAATAATAATAATAATAATAATAATAATAATTAATTAATTAATTAATTAATAAAACAATTAAAACGACAAAATTAAGCAAAAATATGTAGCCCAAAATGTCCAAATGCCTAGCACCAAGACTTGGAGTGCTCACTACTCGCACAACCGATTGATGCTAAATGAACGTGGGAGTGGTCCGATGTCACAAAGCGTTACACCGTCCACATCAGCGAACTTTCACGCACCAAGCCGTGGCCCTTGATGGACATGTTGTACGAACTCATTGCACCGCATTACTTCGCAAGAAATGCCTACGCTTGCTAACCCCTATTAAGCACCAACGTACGTACACATCCATGACAAGGTAATAGGAATTCTACATCCAGCAAGACAAGGTAATAGGAATTGGCAGCAGTAGTCGTCTTGGTTGGAACCTCAGCCTAAAACCCATTACCTAATACGAGTATCAAGTTTTCTATTGCCAAAATTGAGAGCGATAGAGAGATGGGGAAAAGCGAGATGGAGCGGCTGAACCAAACTCTAACAGTCCATCTGACAAACATCCATGAAACGCTGCAACTTATGGATCAAACTCCTGCTTCTTCTCTTCAAAAAGTTACCTGGGATGAAGTCGTTAAAATTGGTGAACAGCTCTCCAAAAACGCTACTACTGGTATTCTTTCTCTCTTTCTTGTGTCCATTCTCTCGATTTCATCAATATCTTTTATGTTTGTATGATTTCAGACTTGGGTGTTTGATGGGTGTTCTTATATTTCCATTATTATTATTATGTCCATTGTTTATTTTTGCTTGATACCATCTATTTGAATTGCTGCCTAATCAAAGATTACAATTGTATTTTTACTAATTGAATGCCTGTTTATGAAGTTGATAAACTAGGGATGTTTATCAAGTGGCAAAGTTGTAATAAAACTAGGTAAAACCATTAATGGTGTTAGCGATTTTGCCTATGAACCGTGTAAAGTATGCTATCAAGTTTACCACTAGATAGAGATATGCTTGTGTTTTCTCTTGTTTGTAGAAGGGGGATTAGTTTGGTGATCCTTTTGTGTTAAACAATAAATTTAGTTGTTCCTATCTCCGTCCAAACTCATGTCTCCTCCTAAGGGTTTATCATAGATTCTTCTAGTTAAGAATAGAGTAAGTTAAAAAAAATATCTTTTCGGGCAGAGTCGGCAGCCATATAGTTCGATGTGAGTCATGTGGCTGATAGATCACTGAATTCTCATTTGAAGATTGATAGATGAATCAAAGGTTGTGTGATACCCTATACTTTGTGTGGGGATGTGTACTTGTTTGAGATTGAAATATTTAGTGGTTTATGATACAAAAAGACCTCATTTTAATTGGCAAGCTATTGGATTTTGATATAAGCAACATGATGTAACATTGTAGAAAAGTGTTAATTTGTTGCACAAGGGCACAATTGAGATACTGGTAGGTGAAAACAAATTGTAAAGAAGACTATTTTTAGATATTTGTCCAAGGTTTCTAAATCTTATTAAGAGTGTGACAACGTTTTTAGGGCCTTCTCATCCTATGTGAGTACTATCACTTTCCTCTATGTAAGGAGACCTCACTATTTAATATAGCATACCACAAAATTGTCTACAAGCAGATTGCATATGAGCTGCTTCTTTACCTGATGTCTCTTGTTGAATTTTTGTTTGTTTGTTTGTTTATTTATTTATTTATTTTTAAAAAAAATTTGTACTGATGTTGAGTATTTGTTAATTTGTTATTATTTTGCAGCTGGAATGCTTTGCACTGGAGAAAAAACGAAAGTAGCAGCACTAGAGGAAAACATGGAGGCATATTTCAATGTGTTGCAGGGTCTTCTTTTGCTTGCCTATGGAAGTACAGTAGGTGCAGGACCAACTCTATCATCAAGTATTCACGCATCAATAAAACAAGTTGTCGATTGCAGTTTCTTGCTATGGAGGGAATGTGTTGCTAGCTATGGTACTATTCTTTTCCTCCCTTCTTCACCATGTTTACATTCTTATTCACTGTCATGCATTTCTAATTATGGTTCCAATTGGAGATATAAGCTATTATATGCTTTATGTATTTTGAAATTGACTGTATATGTTAATCATTGGCTTGATAGATTATGGAATGAGGCCATGGGAGTACATGTAGGTGTCATTATAGCCAATTGTATGTCTTGATCATGTCTAAATGTCTAATCATGTTCAGCCATGCCGTATTAAGCAATTCTTGCATAAATATAGAGAAATTGAGGTAGGTTTTTTATGGCATATGGGGTGACTCATATGGATAACTTTCTGGGAAAGTATGCCTTTTGATGGGAAATGGGGTGAATTTGAACGGTGTGTGAAGTGACTTGGAAAGTCTTGTTTATACATTAGTCTTTTACATAAGAAATTACCAGTATGATGTGGGGAATTATGCCAAGGTTTATTTTATTTTATTTAATTATCATGTATAATACAATGGAATAGTAAAATAATTATAGAGCCTCTTTGATTAGATTTCCACTTATTTACAGTTACAGAGTTGCAAGAGTTTGATGAATATGTTTTTGGAATAGAGGCTTTCTGACACAATATAGCAGTGCAGCATTCTGTAAATTCTACATTGAGAGTGTCAAATATGTCTAGCAATTGATTTTAGTATAGAGCCTCCTTGATTAGGTTTCCACTTTTCTACAGAGTTGCAAAAGTTTGATGTATATGTTTTTTGTAATAGAGGCTCTCTTACGCAATATAGTAGTGCATCATTTCACATTGAGATTCAATAGTGTCAAATATATCTAGGAATTGATTTTAGTATTGGCAGAGTTAAGAGACAAGGCTAGGGCTTATGCCTCTTCATCTAACGTCACACCTCTTAAACATTTCTAGATAGTAGGTGATTAGGAAAGGCCTCTTAGGCAGCATTTTCTCAGAGAGCAGATATGGTGCTGCCTTAAAATGATACCACATTTACAGTTGATATCTTCTATTAGAGATCATATGCAATTCAAATGAAGAATAGACCACTTTGGATTCTTATCACTCCTTTGTCTACTCATGCAAACTGGTTAAAGGATTTGGGACCAAATTCTTTGTTTCAATATATTGCCTACGTTTTAGCATCAGAAATCAAGGAAAAGTGAAAATGGGGACCATGCTTGTGACTACTTTTTGCTTTAAAGAGTAGAGAGATAGAGAGTAAGGGATTTACATAATATAATTGGGTTTCACAAAGCGGGGTTGTAGTAGATAACAAATATGAATAAAAGGTTATTTTTTCACCACATACCCCTGAGTTTTTTGTTTATTTATCATATACCCATGAAAATTTTCAAATTCACCATATACCCCTAAGTTATTACCAAAATTCACAATATACCCCTAATGAAAATAAGATGAATAGAATTTGGTTAATTATACCTCGAAATCACCTTAGATCTCTCCTGTAATCCCCAAAATCACTCCTCTTCTTTTTCCAGCCCCTAAAACCACTCCAAATCTCCATATTAGGGTGGTTTTGTGGGTGAGAAAAAAGAATGTGGGTAGTTTCGGAGGTAGGGAAATGTATTTAGGATGGTTTCGGTTCATAATTAGCTCTAATGATTGACAAAATTAAAAATCATTAGTCATCAAGGGTATATGGTGTATTTTTGTAAAAACTCAGGGATATTTGATGTATTTACAAAAGTTCAGGGGTATATGGTGAATAAACAAAAAACTCGGCGGCATACGGTGAAAAACCGTATTATATACGGTTTAAAGTAAAAGTCCTTAGAAAACAGAAAGTGAGTAGAACTTAGGAAAACAGAGGGAGTTTGAAAGATTCTACTGGTGACTGTATGATATTTGAAAATATATGCAAATTTATTTTAACTCTAATTTGTACAATAGGTTAAGAACTATGCTAATTTCACATCTTTGTGCATTACCCTCGTTGCTTCTTCAATTCTAAAGTTGTCATATCTCGTGCTGAATATGCTACTCAATATGTCATCTTTTTTAGTTGGTCCTTTTTTTATTACATTGTTACAAAAGAACTTTTTTTTTTGCCGTGGATAAATCTTCCTGTAAGAATGCTCTTCTTCAAGGAATGATCAATGATGCTGTAATTGCAGCTTTTTGCAAGGAATCAATATTTGGGGGAAGGGCATATTAGTCACAGTCTATTAGTAGTAACTTGGAGAATAAGCTAGAGGTTTGTTAGGAGGGATTTCCTATAAATAGGCTTCATTAGGAGGAATAAGGAGATGTTGAATATTGAGTGGTTTGTTATTGGAAGAGAGTGAGCCTTTCAAAAGCTCATATTAGGAGAGCATCCACCTCTCCAAAGTGGAATTATCATCCAATTTACTGTAATTTACATATTATCAATATATTCATCATTTTTCTTCCTTAAATTCTGCCATTGTAGATTGTAATCATGTCAGTTCCTAGCACTTTTGTGTTCCTGACAACTTTCATGGTTTACAAAAAGAACCACTGAATATTATGGCTAACAACCCTCTCAAAACATGAATAACCCTTTTTTTTATCCGGCACTGGATTAAATTACAGTAATCAATTCCCACATGAATTGCAAATAAGTGCTATGGCTAACTTCTTACTCTACCAATACCTTCTCATTCTCTTTCATCTGACAGAGAGCCCATTGTTGCAAGTCTGTTACCAATTCATTGAGAAACTATCCCAGCCATTGTAAATAATGAATAACATCCAATCGAGTTAGTATTAGGTGAGACCGTGAGACATTTCATGGACTTGGTATGTAAGTCTCTGTATTATAGCAGCCTCTGTTATCCTATAGATCCAACTGCCAACGAGTTTGAGTTATTGGCAATGTTGTTTGGTTATTGCAATGTTAGATTTATGATACCAACTAAATGATCCTTGGTTGTTCATTTTGTTTTTATTTTTATTTATCTATTTTTATTTTTATTAATATAATTATTCATTGCCATTAGGACCTCATAGTAGTGAGAAGAAGTGCTCCATTCCTCAATTAGCTGGCACAGTCTGGGAAGCATGCTCTGCTCTCAAGAAAACTCCTGCAACAAATATAGTTGCAATTGGGCGCGCAATGACACAGGTTGCTGTTTCTATGAAGGACGTGTTACGTGAAATGAATGAGCTTGAACCATGTTCATCTGATCCAACCAGTGAAGCAGACAGTCAAACATCTGATGCTGATGATGAGTTCGGTAAAGACCTGTCACCTGAAGAGATGAAAGTCGCTCAATTAGCAATCGGAGTTGTGTCAGAAGCAGTTATTGTCATCAAGGAACTTATACGATGCATTACTGGTTTGCTTAAGAAGGAATCTCTTAAAGATGAGAATGATGGGGTTGAGTCCTTGGAAAAGCTATTGAAGCTTTGTCGTAGCATTGGAGTTCAGATGGATGAGCTTGGAGCTTGTTTATATCCACCACAAGAATTATCAGCAATAGCTAAATCATGCAAAGAATTATCTGATTTGATAGATGAAGTGGGTAAAGAATTGGACTATTTAAATGGCTCCACAGAAGCTTTCTCCGAGAGATGCAATGCATTGAAGACTGCCTTGGGAAATTTGGAAGCAGAAATTTCTGATTCTCTTGCTACTAATGCAGTTCTGCAAAATTCCAATGGATTGGTTGTGGTAGAACAAATGCAGAATCTAGATGTATAAGATAGTTCATCTTTTATTCTCCCTATTAGCTCATATTGCCACTCGTGGTGAGTTGTTTAAAATCCAAAAAAAGGAAAAAAAAAAAAAAAACAAAAATTAATTATGGACATACTGGTACAAGTTTGTGCAACTGATTGTGTGAGATTTGAATGTCAGTATAACATGTAATTTTTCCCCAAAAATATCTTATAGAATAATCCATGATTTTCATCTCATTACACATTAGTACATTACAATCATGATACATGGAGTATATTAACTATACAAAATTAATAACAAACTATTGGCAAAAGCCATTTATGTCTTATTGTTAAAACTAGCGCCCTATGGCCTTCACCGCCCAGGCGCCACCAAGATAAAGCCCTAAAAGTGGCCCTGCTAGAAGCATTTGGGTCAATGGATCAGTTGATGGTGTCAGCACTGCAGCAGCGACAACAGCACCTACCACAACATATCTCCAAATTGACAGCATTTGATCTCCAGAAACCAAACCCGTTTGTCCCAGCAAAAGTTGTATGACTGGAACCTGTGAGTACCATTAAAGATCATAAAAACCTGCTCTGTGCATTAAGTACAAGCAAAGAAAGATTTTGCATCCACAAAACACCATGATTAAACTAACTGCCATCACCACAATATCCTACTCAAAATTTGCTAGCCACAAGGTTTGGCAAAGCCTGCATGTACACAAACCTCACCTTGGCTCACAAACCTAAAACAATTTCCAAAAGTCCTCACTGCATGCACCGTCTCCAAGAGGCTCTTCTAAGCAATTAAGAAACCCACTCTAGCTTTCACATTCACTATATTACCAAACTCTCTAAGAGCATCCAAGTCAAGATTATTTCCTCCTAGGCTACAAAAAAAAAAAAAAAAGACAGTAGCTAATTTATAATCCTGATTGTTAAGAAATTATTGTTTGCTAACTGATTGTTCTACAAATGATCCCTTACCTTAATAGATGGATAATTCTTTGGAAAAAAAAAATAAAAAAATTCATGTTCCCAATAACTTTAGTCAGATAAAATCCCTTGAAAGGTTATCCTTATTGATGTCCTACAATCTTAGAGATGTGCTACTATAAATTCATCTAGGCCCGGCCCGACACTTATACCTGTTCATATTTTAAACAACCTAACTCACATCATCCTTAGTTGCTCTCACCAATCACTTTACACATCATCAGGAAATCTCTAATCCTTTGCTTAATCATTTGCCAACAAACACAGGAGCTAAGCATAGAAATATGCCTATAGCTAGCATGAATTATGTTTTGGGCTGGAACTTGATTCTAGTGAAAGTGCAAAATCAACCCATTCCTTTCATTTCCTAAGCTGGTTCTTCCAATTGCTCTGGTACCTATAATTTAATGGTGGATCTACAATGAGTATACAAAAGTCCCACATCCCCACCATGAATCACTATCCTTACATTTAGACTGACAGCAATTAAAATAACTGCAGGAAATCTTTTTCCAAAATTAAACAGAACACAGTATTTAAAGAAAACAGTAGCATTCCACATTATTTACCACCAGGAATAGCATAACTATCTCTACCTTCAAGCCTATCTAAAGAACATAAACAAGCTACTTTCCCTCCATTAGTACTTTCTATGATTATCTGCCACAGCTTCTTTAAATGTCTCTTCTTAGCACCCTACTTTCTTAACTAGGTGAAATTCACTTTAAGAAGAAAGATATGTGATCACATTTAACACCCTAAAGTAGCTTAACATGAAAAACAAAACTGAAACTAGAAATTCAGAAGTCGACATAACATGCTATTTCGTATAAACACACTATTAGTATTATGTCATCTTATTTGGTCATTCATAGTCACACTAATAAGCTTACATAAAATTGACATTTGTAGTTATTCTTATGAATCTTGAAGTATGTGACGAATATATTCGAACACAGGACTCATGAAATTATAGACTTTTAGTCAACATCCTGACTTTTAGGTAACCATGTACAGAGTAACAATTAAACTAGGTAAAAAGACAATTATGCTGCATTTTGCATATAAACAAAAATGATTCCGGTGCTACTTGTTGAATCTTACATCTAAAAATTATTATATGTATTTGCTAATTGCGCTTATGAATTCAGATGTTTACCTGAAACTATTTTGCCTCTTATGTTGATAATTTTCATTACTGTTTATATTTTGTCCCAAACGAAATATATTTACAAAAATGTCAACAGACAACTATTAACTCCTCATATAGTCCAGTGGACAAAGAGCTAGTACATCAACAAGTCTTTCAAATATATTTTAAAAACATTACAAGCCTTGTCAGAAGTAAGATTTTATTCCCAGTCAACTCCATTTCAATGGTATTCAGAAGTTAGTAAAATTGTACAGATAAAGTCCAAGAAACATTACCTGGAAAGACAAGCCAGTGCTGAACATCAGGATAAGAACAAATTCGAAATATTGATCAATCGACCAAAGTGATTCAACAGCTCCTTCCGCATAATTTACAAAGAAGTTCAATGCTGCCGGAGTGAGAACAAGATAGGAGAAGGTAATACCAGCATAGAAAAGCACAGAGGATCCTAAAACAATAGGGCCCAGGAATCTTCTTTCTGCCCTAGTAAGACCAGGTAGCACAAATGCAATAATTTCATAGAGGATCACAGGGCTCCCAAGAAGAAGACCGCAATATCCGGAAACCTGAAGCACACAATAGATTCTGTTAGCAGTCTAGCAAGCTTATGCAATGTTTAGGCTTAAGATAAAAGTATAAAACAGTATAGGGAGGCCCAAAATGTTGTTACATAAGCATTTCTCTTACGGTTATACGAGCGAATCCAGAGTTTCAATAGAGATTCTACATTGTAAGGGTAACTCTAAGGTAATCAATAAGGCTTAAAAGTATGACCTTAACTGACTCAGCTACTCCAGATTTGCAAACCGACAATTCTTACTCATCCATCATACAGAAAATCTAGACAGAAGTATTGAGTAATTATTTTTTTCCCGAGTAACCTGCTCAGGCAGGATTTAAAGACAGGAACACGTCATCTACAACAAGTCTATTACTCCTTACCCAATCTTGTCTGCCTGCTATTGCCCATCACTGGAACAATTACAAATCTATGTTTTTTGCATCAGAACCAGCAACAGCAGTTCCAATCATGTTCCTATGGATGAAATCAATTGATACTTGATGGTTCGAAATTTACAGTGCTACATAGGAACGCTAAAACCTGTAATTAATTTCAGATCTTTTCTGATCATGTATCCCAGTAAAATCATCAATTCTCTCTTCTAAATTTCTAATTATATCAGATCTATCCTATGGGGCAACATTTGGAAACCTCCATCCAGAATGCAGATATATGCTATTGTTTGAGTTTTAGAGTCTTTTAACTTTTAGACTTATTGGTCAAAGATATTCTGTCGATTAGATAGCCTTATCCCTTATTATAAGCAGCAGTTAATTTCTCATGGTAGCAAGTTTTCCAACCTTTAATGTAGTGAAGAAGAACTCCCCCGGAGCTAGTTGCAGGAAACGAACACCTTGCTCTTTAACTGGGTTTTCAAGGATCATAACTAGATCTTTAGAGAAAGCAAAACAGCCCAAAATAGCAGCCCCAACAGCCAAAACTGATACAAATATTCTTTGTCGAAGCTCCTCGAGGTGATCCCATATACTCATCTCCTTATCATCAGGTAGGTCATCTTTACTAGGGTAAAGAAATTCATAGATAGAGCTCTGTCCACCTTCTTGGCCAACATTCTGAAGTTCATCTGCCATGATACAAATCTAAATTAGCTTTGAAAAATGAAAAATGTATTATCTTTCAAAGGACAACATAGAGTTCACTAGGAAACAACAAATCTGAAATGCTCAGCTGAGCAGAATTAGAAGGAGAATATGTGGGCACATCATCAACAATATGGCGACTTCTCCAAATCATAAATGGCGAATTAAATGGAGCATATGTGGCACGTCATCAAAAATGGGCTAGGCCATTTTTATTTTTACGGATACCTTTCATGAGATCATTAGAAATGAGAAGTACAGGAAGACAATCCCATATATAATATAATATACACACATATATAACATGACGGCATTCCCTAATCCTACTATTAACTTTTAAGATTCTTCTATTCAGAAACCTCTCTATTCTGTTAGGCAACGATATTAAAAAAAACAACTTTAATTTTTATAGTAGAAGCCAAGTGATTTGTAAGAGTCCCATGATAGACATTATTTAAATGTTGGATAACCCTAGCAGTGATATGGTATTATGTGAAATTCCAGAATACTGCATAAGATGTTAACAAATCAATCAAACATTCCACATAGTGAGCAGCTACTCATATACCATTATAAGCTCCTATCATCCATCATTCACTATTCTTCGACCATGTCTACTTCGAGTTCCACTTACCACAGCTTTTTTCAAGCGTTGAACAAAATACCAGTTCTGCTCAATAATTTAAACCAAGAAAAGAAAAAAAAAAAAAAAAAGGGAAATCTTCAAACAGTTCACCATAAAATTCATAAGAAAGAAATGGGAAATCTTCAAACGATTAATTTCTCATGGTAGCAAGTTTTCCAACCTTTAATGTAGTGAAGAAGAACTCCCCCCGGAGCTAGTTTCAGGAAACGAACACCTTGCCTCCAACATCATTTTTCCACATTCTTACCAATTAACCATGCAATAAATCCCTCGACTAAAAGCATAGATGCTTGAGAAAAACACCCAAAACTACTTTAACAGCACAAAAAACTTTTCGTTCAATGGGTTGGCAGGTTTCAAACTCTGTCACCTAGATTTTCTTACAGCACAACCTTGGGTTGAGTCATACTCCGATACAAGAATCAACACCGATACATGAATCAACATCATAAGCAGAAAATCCTTCTCTCCTATTCCAATATTTTAAGACATCAATAATCTAATACAAATATCCATTCTGCAATTTCATGCAGTAGCCATCTACTTTACCTAGAGCCCTTTGACATATTCTATACTATAGCATAAGTTCTGTGGGGATAAGCCACAAGAAGTTTGAATTTTTGCAATTTGCCTAAACTTTTGATTGAGTTTCATCTTTCATTCATATCATTGTAATAATAGCAGTAATTTTATCCATTCTACTATTTCATTGCAATAGCCATCTACTTCACCTAGAGCCCTTTGACATATTTTATACTATAGCATAAGTTCTGTGGGGATAAGCCACAAGAAGTTCGAATTTTAGCAATTTGCCTAAACTTTTGATTGAGTTGCATCTTTCATTCATATCATAGTAATAATAGTAGTAATTTTATCTTTTCTGCTATTTCATTGCAATAACCATCTACTTCACCTAGAGCCTTTTATACTATATAGCACAAGTTCAGTGAGGATAAGCCACAGCCAACAAGAAGTTCGAATTATCACAATTTGCTGAAACCCCTTTTGATTGAATTGTATCTTTCATTTCATATCATAGAAATAATAGTAGTAATTTGGCCCATTAAGATTAGAAAAAAAAAAAATCCAAAAAAATTCCATATTTCAGATAATCCTTTGACCAGGCAATCAATAAATGACAACAAAAACAATAAATTAAAAGAAGCAATTTCACATTTTTATATTTTTACTTTCTAGGAAAGAAACAATTTCACATATAATATGAAATATTATGCAAAAATCAATTAGAAAATAAGATATATAAAACTGAAATATTCAGAAAATCAAAGGAGAGGGGCAAAATACATACTGGGTTTATCTTCAAGAGTTGAGGTAAGACCAAGACTGGTAGAACCTTCATTTTCCTTCAAATCATCAACTGCAAAACAAACAGTTTTATCCCATTTTCTGGGAAATCTTGTAGCAGATAAACTGAAGGTTTGTTTGTGGGTAGTTATTTGCACGAATTCAGGAAAAAAGCGATGCTTTGAATTGAGAGGAAGAGAATTTAAGCAGCAGCAGCTGGTGCTGCTACTGGTGGTGTTGAGATGTAATCGAGACATTAAGGCACCGCCACCAATGCTCTTCATTCGTCACAAAAATATATGGAGATGATGTGTTCAGGACTTGAGGCTAGGACTCTACCAGGAACTCATTGCCTAATTTCTTACTCCGTATTTCATTTCGCTTTTATTTTCTTTATTTCTTAAAGATTAGGAAAATTTGTAAATTACCACTCAAAAAAGTCCTATTTTAAAATTATCATCCATTAAAAAAATTTATTTTAAGTATCCATCCATTAAATTAAAAAACATTTCAGATTACCACCTTTTTTGAATTTCCGGTGGAAATTCCGGTTGTGGGTCTCACCTTATTAACTTCCCTGCTTTTTTTATTCTATTCTTCGACCTAACACTCTAACTACTCCATTAAACTCAAAATTCAGCTTCTCTCACCAATTTCCTCACTTAATTCTTCCAAAATCATCAATTTTTTCCCTCTTTCTTCCTTTATTTCTCTGTCAAATTCTCAACCACCCCTTTAGGGTTGAATCAAAACCCTAACTTCACTTTTTTCCTGCAAATTGAATGCTTTGGTTGTACTTACACGTACTGTTAAAGTCGCCTTCTTGAACTGCACTTTGGGGACCAAAAGCGTGTAGTTGAAGCTCTTGTCAATTGCTAATGTCAATGGCGAATCCTGAGGTAAGCAATTTTGACCCTATACAATTGAATTTCGTATTTGTTTGTTGTTGATGGTATAATTGCAATTATGTGTAAAATTAGGGTTTAATGTGTAATGGATTATCTTCACAATTGTTTATTATTGCAATTGGAACTTTAATTGTTGTTTAATTGGGGGAATTGTTTAATTATGCTACATGTGTTGAATGAATAAACAATTGTGTTGGGTTGGTATACTATTGATTGCCAAACATGCTTTATTCATTACTGGCTTATTACTATGAACAGGTCCCTGATAATGAGGAATTTGTGGATGTTAAGATTAGATTAGGTGGTGGGTTTGTGAAAAAAAAAATAATGGGAAGGAATATGGTTGTGTATGAAGGAGGATGGGAGTTTTGGAGGCATAGTTGTAATGTGAGTGACATGTCAGTGCACTTGCTCTTGTTGCATTTGGGGGTTTGTTAAGCTAGATTTGCATGTGCCTAGTGTGTGGAGTATTTGGTATAAAAAAAAAAAGGAAAGCTTTCAAAAAAAAAATGGCAAAAGGGAAATTGTGAATGAAGAGGAAGTCAAGGGCTTTTTAGAGATTAAAAGTAAGGATGGCTTTGTTGTACTTTACTGTACTAGCCAAGAACAGTTTAGGGCTATAAGTGAAGAACCCAATACTGTTCAGCCTACCCAAATAGTCAAAACACTGTTGCCAAGCCTACTGAGATAAGAAGAAGCCCTAGGTTAAAACAGCAAAAAGACAAGGGGGTGACAGAGGGTGATAAAGAAGCAGATAAGGTTGCAGATAGGGTTCCCACAGAGAGTGTAAAAGGGAAGGGGAAGCAAGGTGAGCAGGAAGGCACTTCTAGGGGGAAGAAAGTGAAGGGAAAACCTCAGGGAAAGAGGAGAAAAAAGGGGGATTGCAAGAAGAAGACAAAGAGAAAGCTTGATCTTGAATCAGAATCTGGATCTGATTCTTCTGATTCTGATGACACTGAAATAGATTGCGGAGTGGGGGAGGAGGAGCGTGAAGATGAGGGACCAGAAGAGGCCAGACAACAGGAGGAAAGTGTGAGGCAAATTTTAGAAGAGGTGAATGCCAGTTTGAAGGATGTGCAAGATACACATGAAGACCAAGTGTTTTTGCAAAGTGAGCTGCTACAGAAAGAGGTAACTTTGCAGAGAGAGTACACCTCTAGAGGAGTTGGACAGTCCAAGAGGGTCTGATGATGAGCATGATAACAATACTTGCACTAGTAGAAAAATAGCAAAGGGCACCGGTTCAAACCCGGCCTAAGGCACCGGTTTGAACCGGTGTCAATGTGGGGGGTGCCAATTACCCCCCTTTTTGCCACCGGTTCAAACCGGTGCCATAATTGATTTTTGACACCGGTTAACCGGTGCCATAACTATTTTTTTTTTGGAATTAAAGTCAATTGGCACCGATTAACAGGTGCCAATTCATGTATTTTTTTTTTAGTTTGCTTTATCCACTTAGACATACAATCAGAGATATATTGATCAAAATTGATCATTAAATAAGAAATATAATCAGAAACATATAACAAGCTTGAATACGAAATATAATCAGAAATATATTGATGATTAAATTGTTATTTTACAATACAAAAAAATAAAATAAATTACAACATCAAAATCCAAAAAAAAAATTACAACATCGAAGAAAAAAAAAATTACACATCGAAGAAAAAAAATAATTACAACATTGAAATCAAAATTCCAAAATCAACACCTTGATTCTTCACCTGCATCGATTAAAACACCGACATTAATAAAAACTCACAATAAACTAAAATTACAAACATTAAACCCAGAAAATAAACCCAGAAATCACGAAATTAAAAGCAAGAAAATAAACCCAGAAATCCCCCCCCCAAAAAAACCCCCAAAAATACTCACGAACTGAAAATAAAAAAATTAAAAAAAAACCCCATAAACTCAAAATTATAAGAAAAATTGAAAAAAATACAAAATTCCCAAAAATTTTTTTTAAAAAAACCCAGAAAACTAAAAATAATAAAAAAAACACCCCAAAAGACACATGCATGTACCCAGAAAAATCGATTAATTAAACCGAGAAAAATCGAATTAAAATACAAAACCGATTAAATTCGGATAATTATACCCATAAAAATTGAGAAAACTCGAATTAAAATCCAATAATCGATTAAATAAACCCAAAAAAATTAATTTAAATCCAAAATCAAACCCAAATTTAAATCCAACAAAATCGATTAACATCGAATTAAACCCATAAATTAAACCCTAACCTTGAATGATTATACCTAGAAATTGTTGTTGATGTTGATGTCGGTGGGCTTTGCGGCGGTGGTCAACCTTTGTGGTGGTGGTGGCGGCTTTGCGGTAGTGGTGATGTGGTGGTGATGGTGGGCTTTGTGGCGGTGGTCGAATTTGTGGTGGTGAAGATTGAAGAGAGAGAGGAGATCGAAGAAGCTAGGGAGAGGAGATGAAAGAAGATCGAAGAAGCTAGGGAGAGGAGATCGAAGAAGCTAGGGAGAGGATATGAAAGAAGATCGAAGAAGCTAGGGAGAGGAGATGAAAGAAGATCGAAGAGAGAGAGGAGATCGAATAAGGGAGATAAAGATCGAACAAGGGAGATGAAAGGAGAGAGAAAGGAGAAAGGAGAGAGGAGAGAGAAGGAGATCAGAGAAAATGGAATGAAAGAGGCGGAGTAAGAAGCTAGCTAGTTATTAGGGTTATGTGATGAACCAGTTTTTTTTTTTTACATCTTTTGCCACCGGTTCAAAACTGAACCGGTGCCATATGTCTAGCTCGGTTAACAGCTGTTTCAATCTTAGCCTTTTTGCCACCGGTTTGCCTTGAATCGGTGGCAATATAGGGGTGCCCTTTGCTGTTTTTCTACTAGTGTTGGTTCCATGCTTCAACTGAATTCAGCAAACCAATTCAATTGGTGAAGTACCAGAAGTTCATTAACAACACAGTGGTGAGGAAAGCTCTCAGGGTTCTTGCCATTGAAGAGAGGTATGAATATTGGTGTTTGCACAATAACAGTAGTAAGATTACTATACAATGTAGGAAGAGGTGTTAGTGTAAATGGAATGTTAAAAATTGTAGACTTCCTAGTTGTACATGTGTTGGGGGTAGGAGATGTCACTTTAGGGGTTAGGAAGTCTGTAAACCAAGATTTTTGGCAGATTAAGAGCTTAAATTTGAAGCATAAGTGTCTAAGGGTTAGGAGCAACCATAACTTAACTGCTGAGTATTTAGCTGAGAAGTACATTGAGGATTTTAGAACAGATCGTGTGTAGAAGATTAAAGCTTTTAGAAGGAGAGTTTTAGGGGACCTTGGGATTGAATTAACATACAGTAAATCTTGGATGGCAAGGGCAAGGGCTAAACTCAAGATCTATGGCTCAGCATCAGAACAGTATGCTAGAGTTTGGGACTATGGGAAGGCTATTATTAAGCATAGCCCTGGATCTGGTTGTGTAGTAGTGGTTGATGGAGTGGAGAAGCCTGAACCTCCATTGTTTTAGAGAATGTATATGTGTCTTGCACCTTTAGCCAAAGGGTTTTTATCAGGCTACAACCCATTGATTGGGCTTGATGGCACTCATCTCAAGGCTCTATACCCAGGACAGATCCTAGTAGCAGTTGGTAAGGATGGTAATAACAACATTTACCCTATTGTCTGGGCTGTAGTTGAGATTAAGAACAAAGAAACATGGATTTTCTTTCTTGAGAGGCTGATGGATACACTTAAAGATGAAGAGGGAGGGCTTGGCTATACTTTTATGTCTGACAGACAAAAGGTAAGCATATTTTGGACATATATTTGGCAATTTCATTTCCATTTTGTACTTGGGTTGTTGAACTGACTGTTGTTGCTCATTTGTGGTTTGTGAACAAGGCCTGCTAGAAGCTTTGAATCAACTTGTGCCAATTGCAGACACTAGGTACTGTGTCAGGCATTTATGGGCTAACTTTAAGCTGCAATTCAGTGGCTCTACATTTAAGGAGTTATTTTGGTTAGCAGCCGAAGCAACTACCTTGGTAAGCCACAAAACTAACTAAGTAATTGATGCTTGTAAAATGAGTTTAATTCCTGTTAGTTGCTAATACTGTCCATAGACTAGGTTATATGGTATGTATTCACTGGTTATTTTTGCCTTTTTTATTTTGATTTTAAAGTTGCCATGGAGTCAATTAAGTTCCTATCTGAAGAGGCCTATGAGTACCTTGCTGACATCCCTCCAAAACACTGGTCTAGGCATGTCTTTAGCTCATTCCCAAAGTCAAACATGCTTCTGAACAATGTTTGTGAGACCTTTAATGCTGTTATAAAAGAAGCTATGGATAAGCCTACTTTGACCCAAATGGAGTGGCTTAGGAGGTATATGATGAAAAGGAACCATGACAAGTGGGAGTATTATCATAAAATGGAAGGCAAAGTAACTCCTTATGTGAAGAAAACATTTAAAAGAATTGATCATGTTGCAAGGAATTGCATTGTGCAAGTGTCTAGGGATGATGCATATGAGGTTGAGCTGAACTCTGATCTAGTCATAGTTGACCTTAGCAAAGGTACATGCACCTACTATCACTAGGAGCTGACAGGTATCCCTTGTGTCCATGCATATGCATGCATCATGGACAAAAGGGCAGACCCTGAAGACTATGTGGACACTACATACTCTGTGGACACCTATATGTTGGCTTATCGGTTTGAAGTACAACCAATGCCTGACCCACACCCTTGGGACAAGGTGAAGCTCAGAGCACCTATGCCACCAGCCATCAAAATCCAACCTGGAAGACCTAAATCTAAGAAAAGAAAGCTGGAACAGGGAGAAGAGGGTTCCCAAAACCAACATGTGCAGCAGCCTATGAAGAGAAGAAGTACTTGCAGCAACTGTGGGCAGCAAGGTCACTATGAAAAAACTTGCAAGAACCTTATAGTTACTCCAATTGCAGTCTCTTCACCAAAGAAAGAAGGAGGCAAACCCCAATTTGATAGTGAGTGGGTGAAAGAGAAGAGAAAGAAGAAAGAACAGAGAGCATTGCAAAAGGTAATATTCAAAGCTCCCTCTTTGTTCTATTTACAAGATGTGTGAGTCTGACAAATTTTCTGTTCTGTGCCAAATACAGCAAAGTGCACTTGGTGCTACTGCTGGACCTAAGAGCATTGGGAACAAGAAATTCCCACAACAGCAGTAGCAACAGCAACATCAACAACAACAGCAACAGAGTGAGCATCAACAACAGCAGAGTCAACCTCAACCATTTACCCAACCTAGCCAAGCATCAACAACTACTACTGATGCTACACCTACTCCTAATTCTAAGAAGTACAAGTTTTATTTTGATTTCACCAACTTCCATGTATTTAACTTTATTTAGTGGTGGCTAGTATTTTGTGACTTGTAAAAACTTGGATGTTATTTCAATGCCATAGACAGTTGGTTCAAACAAAGTTTGCTTGAATCCTAGTTTCATTAAGCTACACTTATGTTAATTAAGATGTTAGAAATACAAACCACAAAAAAGACATAAGAACACACTATGTATAAACCACGACTACTTGTTCATTGCATTACCAAAATATAGGTTCAACATTACAATCAAGTACTACTACAATAAATACACCTCCCTTAAACCAGTTTATTAACTATAACACAACCTAAACCTAAAATTAAGGACCAAACAACAACTACAACAATCATCAGCTTGCTGTCAGGATTACCACTACCATTAATCATCTTTTTCCCATCCCCACTTAAAGCCTTGCATTTCACTTTCAATGTATCCTAAGGAGAAATATTTTTGCGACTGAAAGATAATTCAATCCTTCAAATTCACATTCAAATATTTTTGCGAATGAAACAATACCATCAAATTCACCTTCAATCCTTCATAATCACTTACATCATTCTCAAGATCAATAATTGCAATTCTACGATCACTACAAAAATAATGAGAATAGGCAACACCTAAAATTGCAACACTAAAAAAAACTATTACGTACTCTTGATAACCTAAGGCAACAATTATTAAATGTTATTATGAACCAAATTATTGATACTAAATCCTTGTGCAACAATTTAAAAAGTGTTGCCATAAACCATTAAAGACAACAATCATCTAAAGTGTTGCTTTTTTCTTGACTAAGGCAACATGTTTAGGAAATGTTGCTGGAAAAAAAAACGACAATATAATTGTCACCTTACATTGTAGGCTTGTAGCACTTTTGCACATGTTGATCATCTATGACATTAATTCATTAAATACACATCATTAATTAATTAGTCAATGTGCTGCCAACTATATGTTGTTTTATCAAATTAAATGTTTTATAAGAAAACCATGGGTTACTCTATTTTTTTTTATGTATATCATTCATAATAATTGTTTAGGTAATTTTATCAAGGCAAATGGAGTAAAAATTCTATCGCTGTTTCACTTACATAATAGATTAAAAAGTTACATAATAGAAAAAAGTGAAAACGAGTGAATAGAATGCACATTACATCATTTTGATAAAAAAAATTGCAGATTAAATAAATTAGAGGAGTTAAAAAAAAAATCACTACAAGAAAAAGGGGAACTAGCTAATGATACTTGCGACTACATATTCAGTCGCAAAAAATTATTTTTGCGACTAAAAGAGACGAGTAGTTGCAAAATTTGCAACCGATTTATGGTAGTTTTTATGTAGTAGCTAATTTGCGGCGCTCATATAGGTTTTGCGAATATATAATGGTCGTAGAGTTCATAATTTATAATTTGTGACTAATGTTGCGACTAATACAATTTTTTATGACTATATTTGCAACTATCAAAATATCCGATCACAAATATCTTTTTCTACTCTTAGCAAAATACAGAGAAGCTGCCCGCTAAAAAATAAATAAATAAAAATCTCGGCCATGTTTGGTTGAAAGTTGAAAGCTTAAAGCTGAAGCTGATTGTGTTAGCTGATGTTGACTAACTGATTGTATTAATGATTTGACTAACTTATTGTATTAGCTTATTGCATAAAAGTGTTTGGTAAACCACTATTAGCTGATAGGTGTTTAACTACGTAGTATGTAAAATGACCAATAAGGTCATTGAGATATTTTATTAGTGATAGCTAGTAATTGTTAATTGTAACTATATGGATAGGTAATTATAAATAAAATGTGCAAATATGAAAATAATTAAAATTATATTTATAAGAACTATAAAAATTTATTAATCCCACTAATAGTATTTTTTTTTATAACAATCCGACTAATAGTATTTAATTTACCAAAACAATTTCATAATTAAAATAGTAGTACACTATGTAGTTTAATAATGACTTCGGTAATACAATAATTAGTCCCTTAATAATTACAAATTCATGTTGATAGTATTTTTATAAGATTTAGGATAATTCATTTAAGAAGATTAACCAATCAACCCACTTTTAACCCAAAAAAAAAAATACTACTACCGTACCTAGAAGCTAAAAGTCTAGAACCATTATCTTTACGAAGCACATTCACCATCATCCTCATCCCATCTCCTTATCAAAAACAATTTAATGAGAAAATTGGCATCTTTTTTTCGAGTTAAGTATAATGTTGGGTACTAACCTTTTCATTTTTTTTTTCACCTTTTGGGTACTCTCACTTTTGTTTTCACCTTTTGGGACCTCTAGTTAGGTTTCCGACCATTTAACTCAACATAAACTCACTTGAGCAAAAGTGAGTCCCCTATTTCAGTTTTTATCCAAAAAAAGTTAGTCCCCTCATTGGAAATTGTGCGAAATAAGTGATTACCTTCATTAATTCAAGCATACATATCCAAACACATATAAATATTTTCTAAATATTTATAACAGAAAAAAAATTCCCAAAAATTAAAGCTGCTGCAAATATTCAACTAGCCGTACTATATTCAACACCTTACTGAAACGATCAACAAACTCATAATCTAAATGTACATGATAAGTGTCATTTATGTAGCTATTTTTAAGAGTTTTCTAGTTAGTTTTTCATAGTTTTTATATCTTTTTACTTGGTTTTAATAACGTTTTACTACATTTGTCATGATTGCGTGTGAAATGTCGTTATTGCTCAATTTTGGCTTTTCTTGCATATTTTGGTTGCTTATGGCATTAGATTAAACTTTATTAGTTTATTCTTATGTTTAGGAACACTTGGATAAGTTCATTGCTCAAGATTGAAGAAATATAAAACATAAAAGAACAAGTAATGAAGAAATGTGCACTTGATTTGCAATGATCGAACTTCAAACGCCTATATCTTTTGATCTACAAAACATTTTGGGGCGATTCTAATTGGAGATGAAAGCTTATCTCGAGAGCTTTCCAACGACAGGTTATATGCCCGATTTCGTTGTAAAACGTGGAAGATATGCTCATTTGAAGCTGAGCGGTTAGCCCAGTCCGATAGGAGCGGGCGCGCACCCTATGAGGAGCGCCTGCTCCAAACTTTTGGAACGATTCTGCCATATTTTGTTGCAGCTAGGAGCGTCCGTGCACGAAATTGGAGCGCCCGCTCCTCTGCGCGCTGCTCGACTTTTTGCGGAGCTTCCTAGGCAATTTAGTAAGGGGTATAAATAGATTTTTTGCTCATTTTAGAGGGGGGAATTCATTTCTTCAGTAGTTTATAGATTAGTTTTAGGTTTTTAGAGAGAGAAACTCTCAAATTTAAGAGAGAGAAAGTGAGAAACACAATGGTTTTCATGGATTTTGGATAATCAAAGGAGGAATTTGATGATTTGAAGATCTCCATCTTATATCAATAAGCATTCTTACTCTCTTTTCTCTTTATGCTTTCTTTAATTTCTTTGTTAATCATGTTTGAGTAGGTTTCCTTCTACTAGGTGTTGAGTGAAGCTTTGTAATGGTTAATTGAGTTATTTGAGATAAATTTGATGATAATCGTGTGATTAAATTGATTGAATTGATGATGGCATGTTGTTTGTTTTAGATGGGATTGATCTCCCATGATAGCAAACTTAATTGCATATTAGCTCTAGTTTAACAAGGGATTGTGAATTAGAATTGTTATATTTGATTGCATATTGGGTAAATTTCTTCTATGCACCTTGTCAATGAGGGATCTAGGCTAGGAATTTGAGAGATTGCTCTTGAGTATAATTAATTCCCATTTTAATACTTTCTTTGCATGATTGATTTTCAATTGGATTCTCATTAACTTGTTAATTGTTAAAAGTGGATCTTTTCCCCTAGTAGACTTTATAATATCTTGGTCTTTATATGTATGTTAGTGTAGTTGTAGTGTCCAATATCCATAAACCGAATTCGGCATAGCTTAAGCATTAGATCAAGAACAATCTAACATTACCGTTCCTTGTGGTTCGACTCCGAACTTACCACTAGACTTGTTTAGGGGTTAGTTTAGGATTATAATAAATTTTGTTTGGTCGTGAGGAGGTTAGTCAACGACCTAATTTCCCCGCGCTCAAAATGGCGCCGTTGCCGGGGAACGGTGCCAATGCTTGATTGTTTTTGATTGCTTGATCTTTGTGTATACTTTTTCTTTTTCTTTTATTTTTTTTTATTTTTGTTTGCTTTGTAAAAAAAAATGGCAAGTAACTCGTTTCCTCAATATGAAAATAAGCCTTTTTGTGAATATTTCAATAGACTTGAGGGATATTTGGACTTTAATTGTTGTAGTCTTTGGGAGGCTTGTGAGATTTGTTATTTTGGTTTGAATGAGCAAACTAGGGATGAAGTTGAATGCATGCATAATTGTGAATTTAGAGCATTATCAATTGATGATGCTTGGGATTTTTATGTTTGGTTTGCTTGGGATGTCTATAACAAGGGTAATCATGATTATATTATTGATATGCAATGTGTTGATACTTCTAATATTAGCATGAATTCCCATGATTTGTTACATGATCCCTTAAGTGAACCTAGAACACATGATTTCAACTCTATCTCCTCTTTTGTTCATGATGATGAGGTATATGCTCAATTTGATGCTAATGGTGTGTTTCAATATTCTTCATTATTTACCATGCCTTCTTGTGATGTGCTTCGTTCCCTTAATGATGAATCTCATGTGTTTGATTGTGCCCCCACTCCCCAATGTGATGTATATGCTCATGATCTTAATGTTGATTTTTTCAATCTTGGTTGTACTTCTTCTTCTCTTGTTGAGCTTCAACCTTCTACACCTTTTGAATCCCTTATT